GATTTGAGGCAGGAATGCAATTCTCCAGGATGGCAATTAAGTCCCATGCGTCCAAAGCCAGGAAAATGGAGATGAGTTAGAGCAGAAGTCAAGACAGCTCCTCTGTGCTTGCTCCACATCTGGCGCCTTAGAGAGGCCCTGACTGGGGGGGGGGAATTCTTTCTCTTTTATGTAATTGGAAAGGCTTGCTGCTTTAATGCCAGAGGACTGTCTTCAAGGAATCATAGGACTAAAATAATTGGAAAGGCGGAAACACAGAGTACAGGAGGACCAACATGAGGAAAGACATCAGAAATGGGGAGACACATGGCCTTTTAATTCGTTAACATCAGTTTGACTGGCTTAGGGTTTTAGATAAGAGAGCATTGGGGAAAAGCGAAAAGAAGCTGAATTGTAGAGTTGTAAGTGACAGGGACTAAAAGCTCGTTTATGGGTAATGTGGTACGTAATGGACAGGTGGCTCAGATGACACGGTTCTGAATCTTGTCTCCATCAACAACCAACTGTGAGATGTTAGTATCTAATTCTGAAATACCACCATAATAGTACCTGCTTGCCCTTGTTCGAAATTGTGCTTGGCTAGTCGCAACAAAGCTTAACACTAATGACTTACTAATGAGAAGTCTGGAGCTATGCACCCAAGGACTGACAATTTGGCAGTATAATGTCATCAAGGGCCTTGGCTTCTCATGCCAAGCACTCATCACCTCCTATTTACAAGATGGTTTTTGGACCTCTTCCATTGTGTGCGTGTCCCAGGTGAGATGGAGGGGAAGGGGCGGACATCAAATGCAAGCTGAATTATCAGCTCTTTCCTATCGTCTATAGGGGTTTTTCAGTCATGCTCGACTCAACTTTCTTCATCTCATTTGCTAAAATGTTAATATAAGGAGATTGACACCGCATCAGCATGGAAGACTAGTAATCCCAGTTGTTCAGCTGAACACATGGCTGCCTCTAACAAAAGCAAGGTTCTATTAATAAGAATGAAGGGTAAATGAATATTAGACATGTAAGTAGAAGTCTTTGTTACACATGACCCTTCACAGTTGAGGATTCAGAGAAAAACGTCAACTCTGCTTTAAATACTCCGCTCGTTCCGAAAACGGGAAAGTTACGAAGAACTGATAGTTTTGGGGAAAGGCCGCTGGATCTGCTTTAAATCTACTGAATTTGAGTTCAAGACATTGCAGGTGTCTGGAGCAGTTCACAGCTCTCAAGAAAAGGACTGAGGCTGGACATTGAGATTTCAAGCTGCCTGCCTAATAAATGGATAGAGCACAAGCTTTAACTGCGGCAAATCATAGAAGTGATCTCTTTCATTGGTTCCTCCAACACGCATTGAAAGAGGCCAAGTTTTCTTAGGCTGTCACTTGCACAGAGTAGAGGGATCATCGTGAGTCCAAACACCACTAACAGCATGAGGAGATGCACTGACATTCACTTCAGTTTGTGATTAGAGAAACAACCTATCCCCTTCCTTTCTGTTCAGCCTCTAATTGACTCGGGCCATCGAACATCTCAGGGCCTTGGCCCGTGGGTCCAGACCTGTACAAGGTGCTCCTCTGAACTTCTTTAGGCTCTTCCTTTTCTTTTGGCTCAGTCAGTCCTCCCGAGAGACATCTGGCACCTCTCACTTAAAAAATGCCCATGTAATCGTTACTTCTCTTGATTGAGGGGCTGCTTTTCTTAGGTAACTTTATATCGCAGTGAATGTCTCCTATAGAAAATCTAGCTTTTTGTATGCCAGGAAGGACTGGTTGAAAATAAGGAACCCCTTTGGGGGCGCCTGGGTGGCTCAGTCGGTTGAGCGGCCGACTTCGGCTCAGGTCATGATCTCACGGTCAGTTAGTTCAAGCCCCGTGTCGGGCTCTGTGCTGACAGCTCGGAGCCTGTTTCGGATTCTGTGTCTCCCTCTCTCTGACCCTCCCCCGTTCATGCTCTGTCTCTCTCTGTCTCAAAAATAAATAAAAGTTAAAAAAAAAAAAAAATTTAAAAAAAAAAAATAAAAAAGAAAATAAGGAACCCCTTTAAAAAATTAACATTTATTTATTTTTGAGAGACAGAGACAGAGCATGAGCAGGGGAGGGGCAGAGAGAGAAGGAGGCACAGAATCCGAAGCAGCTCCAGGCTTCACGCTGTCAGCACAGAGCCTGATGCGGGGCTCGAACCCACAAACTGTGAGATCATCACCTGAGCCGAAGTTGGATGCTTAACCTACTGAGCCACCCAGGCGCCCCTGAAAATAAGGAACCCCTTTAATCCTCAGTGATCCCAAGTCCTTGTGATGAAGAAGTATGACCACCACCCGGAGTGTTCTGGACAACCCGTGTCCTCTGTGTCCTTGCCAAGACCTTCAATCTCAAGCCAACAGCTCATTCTTTCCCCACATCTGCTCTGACTCCCTCTGCCTTAGCCTCGGAGAGCAATTTGTTAGTTTTCTCCTAATACGTTGATAAAGAGTAAAATAATGCAGAATCTAGGCTACAGTGTATGGCCATTGGAACTGCTTGTACTTGGAAGTTGCTGAGAAACTGGATGCAAGAGTAAGTGAGAAAAACAAGTCACTGACCAGTTCTAGATTTTTTGATTGAACATTCAAGTGACTGGTGGTGTCATTTACTCGGAGGAGAAAGAATAGGGGAAGTAGGGGCTTGGGAGACTGTAGCAGTTACAACATCAGTTGGGACATGTTACATCTCCGTTCATGTTGTCTATCCATGTGGTGACATTAAGCAGGCAATTCAATATATAAGTCTAGTGGGCCAAGAGGATTTTATGTGAATTTTGGAGTAATCAAAAATACACAAGTTATTTAAGCCATGGGACTGTATAAATTTGCAAAGGAAAAGAGTTTTATATAAAGAACGTAAGAGGACCTGCAGGAGAGTTTTCAGATTTTAAGTAAAGGGCAGTCATGAAGAGGAAGGTGAAGCACAAACACACACAGGCACACAATATCTTCTTTATCTATTCATCAATCAATGGATCTTTGGACTCTTCCCATAATTTGGCTATTGTTGACAATGTTGCTGGAAACGTCGGGGTTCATGTGCCCCTTTGAATCAGTGATTTTGTATCCCTTGGGTAAATACCTAGTAGTGCAATTGCTGGACTGTAGCGTAGTTGTGCTTTTTAACTTTTTGAGGAACCTCCTTACTGTTTTCCAGTGTGGCTGCATCAGTTTGCATTTCCGTCAATAGTGTAAGTGGGTTCCCCTTTCTCCACATCTTGCCTGTTGTTTCCTGAGCTGTTAATTTTAGCTATTCTGACAGGTGTGAGGTGGTATCTCATGGTGGTTTTGATTTGTGTTTCCCTGATGACGAGTGATGTTGAGCATCTTTTCACGGGTCTGTTAGCAATCTGGATATCTGCTTTGGAAAAATGCCTACTCATGCCTTGTGCCTATTTCAGTTTCTTGGTCTTCTTACCTCCAGTGATCTGTTTTTCTGCCTTGATTTAGTCCTAGATTCTCACGAACATACTTGTGACTTGTCAGCTCTCGTATATACGCTACTGTGGAAAATCTACCTCAAGGATCTTAATCTTTGTCCACTGCTTTCCACTTCAGAAATTCCACATCCTGAAAGAGATTTACAATCTATTGGTGCAATCAGAATCTTGTCAAATCAGTCTGTCTTCTCTTATTTCCTTAGTTCTTCCTTACCAACGTATAGATCATGGGACTTCCTTATTATCACTCTTATGTACATGCCCCTGTTGTCCATACTCCCCCCACCCCGTCCATTGTCCATGACCAGTTAAAATAACCCTATGCTCTTTATGTGCCTTTATGACAACAGAGCAAGACAGACACATAGAATGACTGGTTTCATATTAAATTGATGAACATAAGTCTCAAAGTATCAATCCACAATGCTTAGCTCTTCTGTTATACATTCCCTGGTCTCTGTGTGTGTATTTATATTTATTTATATTTCTGTCTCTTCTAAAAAAAAATGACCACTCTTCTCAAAGTACCTTCACCCCTTTGCTCTCTCAGCTGATAATCTTGTTTCATATGCCATCAAGAAAATAGAAATCATCAGAAAATAAGTTCCTAACATTCTCAGTACCCAAACACCTACTATTGCTGGACAAAGACAATATTTGTTGGTTTGCGGTTAATTTTCGAATATTTTCTGATGCCTCCCCTTTCCTTGCTATGTGTCTAGCATTTTGTGATACATCAGACTGGAAGTAGATGATTCTGTTTAATAATAGTGTTGGAGAACTATGGAAACATAGAATACTTTCTTAAATTGGGTATGCGTTTATCTGTTGGTTTTGTCTGTCTGTTTTTAAATGAGATCCCTTTACTCAACTAGAACGACTGGGGGGTGGCATTTAAAGACAGTCATTAATGGGAGGTGGGTGAATTTTGTATACAGAACAAATAACAGCATAATGGATTAAGAACGCAGGTAGAACATTTTTCACTCATATTTGGATAGCAGATATTTTGAGAAAATGCTCCTAGACACCAAAATATTCATGTAATTTTAGGGGTTCTACTTTGAAACTTCTCTATGGAATCCTGGTCAAGATCCTGAGGGATTTTTTTTAAGTTTGGGGGGTTGAGATCTGGCTGGAGTTGTCAAGACAAAAGGTGTATGTGAATGGTCAGGATGTCTGTGTATATTTCATTTTAGAGGGACCTATAACCATGGCAGGGGCTACTAAGTCTATTGTAAGTGATTTGGGGGAACTAACATAATAATAAAATAAATTTGAAGCTTATAATATCAAATCTGTGAAGAGAACTACACTAGGGTGTTTATTTTTTACTGACAGAAAATCAAAAAGATTACTGACAAGAACTGATGAACCAAGTATAACTTTGGTGAAGTTTTAAGCTAAGCATGTATTTGTACTAATATGACAGATTGTGGTGTCAGCAGGATTTGATGAGTGGCCATGTAATTAATGAAATAAATTTAGCAAATTGTAATCAAACACAAATATTGAAGTGTTTTTCTTCTTTTTTAATGTTGCATTAGGTATTCAATTGACAGAAACACAGACTTGGAGAGGTATTTCAATATCGATGCCAACAGTGGAGTTATTACAACCGCCAAATCTTTGGATCGAGAGACAAATGCTGTTCATAATATCACAGTTCTTGCAATGGAGAGCCGTAAGTTGCAAGGTTTAGTATACAGTTAGGATGGGGGACACTGAGAGTGGAGAGTGGGTTGTCATGGGGTTATCATTTCTACTTGAGTCATATTACGTGCTTATTCAAGTTAAGCAAAACTTTGAAAATCCTTAATTTCCAGCTGTGAAATAAATTTATATTCATTAACTTTATTTTCTAATGCTCAGAAAGTTAATGAAAAGAGAGGACTATAAAATAATGGGCCTGAGTTACCTTCAGAGGATTTCTTGTTGCTTTGTAGTCATATTTCATAAGCTACATTTATGCTGATACAGAGTTGGGCCAGTGTCTTCCAGAAAGTAGTAGGTTGATCTCTAGCCAAGACACTCAGATTTGCATATTGATGTTGAACTCATTTGAGTCCCTGATAAGAAAGACATCGACATAATAATGCACACTTCTATGTTATGCATATTATATACATACATAGGTGTACATTATATGCATGTAGTCCTACATACCTGAGGTCTAGCTTCAAAGAACATTGAAGTTCATGGTTTATTGCTCATTCTTTCAATGATTTTCTTATCAAGGACTAAAAAAAATGCATGTACTGTACGTATATATGATGTTTGGATCGAATTTCCTGTTGCTCTCTTTGAAGTCTACAGTGTTAAGTTTCTAGATTTCTTTCAAAGTTTGGTCATTTTCTTACTAGGGTCATGCTTTAGAGAGGCAAACCCTTTTTATTGATTCTAATTATTTTTAATAGGAGTTTCTTGAGTTAAATGGCAATGGAATAACAGCTTTACTCTGAGTAAATGATAAGACATTTTCCTCTTTATTAGAGAATCCGTCTCAAGTTGGAAGAGGCTATGTGGCCATTACTATACTCGACATCAATGACAATGCCCCTGAATTTGCTATGGACTATGAAACCACCGTGTGTGAAAATGCCCAGCCAGGGCAGGTGAGAGCTTTCAGAACACCAGCCTCCTAGCTTGTGATTTCTTTTAAAATATGCAGCAGCAGTTGCCCTTGAAATTCTGTCAGCTTTAAGATAAAATATGGTCAGCATGTCTCAGCAAAACTAACACTTTGATGTGTAGCATAAACTAACATTGAAGGAACTCTAAAATTCTGGTTTAATTGGGATGATGAAATTTCTCAGGAAGAAAGATAAACATTGTAAAAGCCATGGTAAATGGTGGAGGGCTTTGACTCCTTTACGAAGTCTAGCATATTAAGCTTGATTGAGCTATTCCCCACTTTACACAGCAGGGCGTAAGTACCTTGAACTTCAAAGAATTAAGTGTAGTTTAATCTCGGTCTGGTTTGTTCTACTCATCCATTTTGTTCAGTGTTTTGTAATGTTTACGGGGATGGTGTCATCAGTTGGTGCAGCTTATGTCTCAGGTTCACAAAAGTAAATTCAAACACAGCGTTTGAAAAGGACACGGCTTGTTTTTCAGAGCCCTTTTTAGATGGAGTTCATATTAGTTTATCTGCTCCTTCCTTCCAGAAGGATGGTGTTTATTATAAGGTATAAAATTGCTCTTCTCTGTCACAGAAAACAAAGCCGAGCACAACAACATATTTTCATGTTTTACTTCTCCATCCCTAGGTTATCCAGAAGATCAGTGCCGTTGATAAAGATGAGCCATCCAATGGACACCAGTTTTATTTCAGCTTAACGACTGATGCAACAAATAACCACAACTTTTCATTGAAAGATAACAAAGGTAAGGGATTATTATGGTCACCAGTGGAGGCAGCAGGTACAAACTCTCTAAACAACTACTTTTTCTTGCTCAGGAATCCTGATTGTGGAATACATATACATACACATATACCGACACATACAAGGACATTAATTAAAGGGCAGTGAGTGGAGTGCCTGGGTGGCTCAGCCAGTTAAGCATCCAACTCTTGAATTCGACTCAGATCACGATCTCACAATCTTGTGAGTTTGAGCCCCAATAGCACAGGGCCTGCTTGGGATTCTCTCTCTCTCTGCCCTTTCCCCGCTTGTGCTGTGTCTCTCTCTCTCTCAAATAAACTCTTAAGGGGCTCGTTGCCCTTAAATTTTTTTTTAAGTAATTTTTATCTGTGGATTTGCTGTCATTAAGAAGCAGCTGCTACTTAAATCACTTCAGGCCAAAATCCAAATAAGGGAAAAGGCAGGTCCACCTTTCTCTTTACTCCTAGACATTTGAGGGGTCAGCTAAATGTATCAATAAGGCTATCCTATATAGGCATAACTGAGACGTTAGGAAAATAATTGGTATTTCCAATCTGATTTCAACATAAATCAATTTTGACCTAATACCTTCAATAGCAACATCAGTTATTCCTTTATTTTTACATAAAAGTAATCCATGCAGATAATTAAAAGATATACTCCTCATGCAAGGAAATATAAAAAAGAATTTCCTGTCATCCTCAATCTCATTTCTTTGCGTCAGAGGTGAACACTTTTACCAGTTCCCTAAGTGTCATTATAGAAACATATTTACAGAGGCCTGTAAGTATATTCTGATTTTGCTTAAATAAATAAATATATATACAATATTTATATTTTATAAATATATACAGACTTACAGGCATATATAATTATATAGAAACAACTTATATAGACAATTATATATATATAAAATTATAGACATATACACAACATATAGACAATTATAAGAACTTTTAAGGGAAGCAGAAGACCATTCTGTTGTCTGATTTTGAATTTATTCACAGGTGATTTCATTCAAGGTATTTATTTTAACAGAAGGGTATTTGCAACTGATATATCGAGAAGAGTATCCCCCCGCCAATACAGAAGATGTGTTTCTTTCAGCTTGAATATGTGAATCAGGCTTCAGGAACAAAAAAACAAAAAAACAAAACGTAGAAACAATTTGCTAGTCAAACAGTGGCTCATCTAAAATGACTTAGAAGGTGGGCATTATAAGTGCCTTTTGCCTAAAGCCCCCATCCTGTTTAGCACAGAAAATCCAAGTTTGACCTCAAAACTTCAATCTTAAAATATTTTTCCTGATTCCATCCTCTGCTTAAATGAGAACACTATCTTGTCCCTTCTGTAACATAAAAGGAAGAACATTCTCTATGTGGGTAATCCCAAACTCTCTGAATTAATCATATTTGCAAGGGACAGTTCTCAGCACTTGGATTCACCCAGCACAAATGCAGAGAGGGGAATTTATGACCTTTCCAAGAAGAGAGTATTTCCCCCATGTGTCATCATCATGCAGTGCCATGATTTTTGGACAGTAAACGCACACTTGAAAGACTTCCCTAAGTCAAGTCCAGAGCGTCCAGTATGAACCTTCTAAGAATTAGGAGATTAGTTCTTATATTGGCTTCCATCATAGGAACTGCATAGAGAACATCACCATTCTTACGATATCTTTCCTGAGCACAGGACTCCCTTCTCATGTATTGGGCATTTTTGCACGTGTTCCTTGATTCGTCGTGTGTGTGCGCGTGCACAAGTGTGCTCTCTGATGCCAGGCATGTTAGATTAACGTTCAGCAACTCTGAAACAACTTTGTATATCACATAATGAATACATATATCTGATTGGTTGAGAGGCCAAGAAATAGACGTTGCATTACTATTAAGTGTATAGAGAAACATACTGAAAACAATATCCTTCAGCCGCATGTGTGGATTTTTAATGAACACCTCAAATTCACGTTTTAAAACAGAAGATTCGTTTACATAAAAACTTACCGGATGGAATCCAAAAACCAAACAGTTGCTCTTGCCATATTTGTAACTGCAGGTTATGTGATGTCTTTGGTCTCCTGTGAGCTTGCTGTTTGGTGCTATTTGGATAGAATAGATTTCAGCTTGCTCTTTCATTAGAACATTGTTAATTCTTTTATGGTAACATTAGATACATGTCTTTTTGATAGCTTGGAAAGGAGATACAATATTAAAGTACACTGGATGAAACTAGCATCCTATTTTCCTTTATGTGTTAATTGCTGTAAGTATAAAGGACCACATACATTCTCTAATTAGTTAATGAAGACAAGTTAGTTGGGTAAACCGCTAGCAGATAAGAAAAAATATTTCTGATCTAGAAATCACATTTATGTGATACAGACTTACTGATCACTGTTAAAAGTTTCATAATTACTTTAAACGTTTAGATGAAATAGAATATTGAATATAAATTAAACACAAATGACCCATTTTATCACTGACACAATGTTTATACACATGGGGCCTGGGTCACGATATATACCAATACGGATTTTTAAAAACTACAGTGTCATTTCTCTCTGATAGCTATATTGACTTATTTTAAGTGTTTCTATATTGGGTTTGAGACAGGTGGAGATTTTTGGGCCATCTCATGATTCTGCAAAGATACCCTGTTCATTTGCATCATCCTCTTTGTAAGTGTGTGGTTCGAAACATAAGAGAAGTTAAGAGGGTAGACTACATGACATTTTCACAAAGCTGCAGTTAGTAAGTGATGAATAAAAATTTCCATATTCTGTTTTACTTTGTCACTGTTTCCTTTGGTCATAACTCCATAGCATGAGGTAAATGTATTAAACTGTACTGCAGTGAACCAGTATTGGGTAATATATAGTGCTCAGTCTAAAGACACCAAACAGGACTTAACTCACATACATCGTGTGTGTGTGTGTGTGTTTCTTCCAGAAGTTTGTACCGCTTAAACCCCCTCACCTATTTCGCCCTTCCTCCCACCCTCCCCCTTAAATGGATACAGTTTGGCAGGACTGAGGCTGCCAGAAATCTGGGGTTACACGTTTGCTTTCTTTATCCTAGACAACACGGCTTCCATTCTCACCAGGAGAAACGGCTTCCGGAGACAGGAGCAGTCTGTGTACTACCTGCCCATCTTCATCGTGGACAGTGGTTCGCCTTCCCTCAGCAGCACGAACACCCTCACCATCCGCGTCTGTGACTGTGATGCCGACGGGGTAGCCCAGACCTGCAACGCGGAGGCCTACGTCCTACCTGCCGGCCTCAGCACCGGAGCCCTGATTGCCATCCTCGCCTGTGTCTTGACGTTACTGGGTGGGTACAGTTTCCAGTGCTTTCTCTGCAAGAGCAGTCACACCAACCCTGCATGCACCGTGACCCTTCTCTTTCCTTTGGCCTTGGGTACCTTTTTGAGAACATACACAAATGTTCCCCTCTATTGTGTTTTGTTCAGTGAGCAACCCATGTTCTTTTGGCCACGCTTTCCAATGGTATATTTAAAACACAGCTCAGAAAAAAAAATACCAATCTCTTTTTTAAAATCGCAGTGAAGATACAGGACTGTTTAAAATTGATTTTTTTTTTCAAATTTACCATGTTGTTTTACAGTACCCTACAGAGTCGTCTATTAGACCAGAATCTTCTCTATGTTGTTTTGATAAGATGATTACTTCAGAAATTATGGCTTTATACGCCCCCTCTTTTCAGAAAAGATGTAAGGAATATTTTATAATTATTCACGAAGTTAAAGAGATTGTAATTCCAGCAGTGCAAAAGTTACAGTTTTCCCAAGAATTAACATATTTAATTGTACTCTCCTGGATTACTTCATTACGTGGTTAAATAAGATTTACAACTTGTATTAGAATTACAGTTTTGTAAGAGATTATGCAGTACGCTTTTAAAAATTGGGAGCTAGCCAACATGGGCATTGGGTAATGGTTTTTTTCCTTAGCTACACTCTCTTTCACAGTGTAACTTTCCACAGCAAGGACAATGAGCATTTACGATTGCATTTGAGACCGTGCTGTGTGTTTTCTAAGGTAAATGGGTCTGATATAATTTGTGAACCCATTTATAATATATTTTTATAAAAGCAGAACTTGGCGATGTGAGTCGTCATTGTGTAATCTTTAAAAACAAGATTTATGGAGTTAGGTAAACCTAGTGTTTATTACTGCTCCCAACATACACTGGTTTTTCACCAGAGGAACATTAATTCTTCTAAAGCTGGCTTCTTAATCTATGAGGGGAAAATAGTAGAACTAGACTCATAAGGTTATTGTCAACCTTAAACGAGACAGTCATGTGCCTACCACATAGTGGACATTCAGTCACTTTTAAGTGTTATTGGTGAAGCAAGTTCCCAACCCATGAGCCAAGCTAAGACCTAGTTACTAACACACTGTCAATGATCTCACACAAATGTAAACTACGTTTTCGATAACTTCAGCTAACCAAATAACTTCACACAGGTGGCAGAAAGTCTCAGAAAATCATTAGACATGGCAATTCCCAGTTAAAGCCTGATGAGAATTGAAAGGACTAGCCTCAGTTTTGAAAAAGATGGAACCATTGCAAAGGTAAATGGTATGTGGATGACTCTTCTTGAACTTAACTTGGCTAGTCTATCACACACCATTTAGATTACATCAGACTTCAAAAGAATAAGGTAAAATTGGAATTCCCAGAATTTAATCATACCCAGCAGTCAATTATCTTTTTTTAAGGCTGTCTAATGAAGCCTGCTTCATTGTTAGAACATACTTTTCCCTTGGACTTAGGGATTCCTTGCAATTTAGGTTGCTTGGTTCTAATTAGTTAAGAATCATTACCTAGCTGTCACTGGTAAGTGAAATTGAGTATTATTAGATTTCATTTTTGCATATAATATATATGAGTATTTGTATGTGTATACATATATCTTAGGGTAAGTTTATAGGTTTTTGTTGATTTCTTCAAAATTTAGTTAACTTTTTTGTTAAATTTAAACATTTTCCTTTAATAGATACCAGATTAGGAATACCTCTTCTCAGGATAAGGTGTTTATGTCTTATATTTTACTGTTTTTTTCTTCTAAAGTTTCTCCAAGTCTATAAAAACAAAAGTCAAAACAGAGCCTATTGTACTGCAATTCATTTTGAAACCATTGGCTTTCTTGTCTTGGTAGGGACCAGTAATCAGCATGTCCAAAAACTGGTATTTCTGTTCAGCACTGAGTCTCTTTGTGCCTTATTTCCTGAGTCTTTAGAAGCAGATAATCGGGACTTTGCATGTTCTTTCGGTTCTGTCACCTCAGTCGTGGACTCTAGGTTTTCACACAGTATGTACCGAAGTCAATGTGACTATTTGGGGTGAGGGTGGTGTGGATGGGACAGCCAGCCTCGCACGGATCATGGCTTCTAGTGCACAAGTAACACATTCTTTCCACCTCAAGAAGTAAGATGAGTCATATTCCTAGACACTCGATACCAGGATTTATAGTTCAACCTTTTTAGGCTTCTGAATAAATATTGCAAGAAAAAAAGAAAGGTAAAAGGGTGGAAATAGGGAAGAACTCCTTGAGAATCTAGGTCAGTTTAGGGATGTTGTGGTCCAGTGAGGTTTTAAATTAAAGCTACTTATAAGATGAGAGAAAGAGATGCCCTGAAGGTTCCAGAATGCTCCTACAGGAAGGCATCACAGAAATCCATTCCAACCCAAACCTCTGCATTTTGCAGAGGGGGAGAGTGAGGTACAATGAAGTTCAAGGATTTCAGGAGTTCATATAACAATGGCGATTATGGCATTTCTCAGCCACTGATTTTTCGATTAATCTACAAAGGAATCGCACCTTGAATATACATTTTTTTTAATGTTCATATGTAGTCCTTTCTTAAAATTGGAAAGTCATGTTGTCTGAAGTTGGTTGTGTTGACTTCACCTCTGTGTCCTTTTATTTTTTTCAACGTTTATTTATTTTTGGGACAGAGAGAGACAGAGCATGAACGGGGGAGGGGCAGAGAGAGAGGGAGACACAGAATCGGAAACAGGCTCCAGGCTCCGAGCCATCAGCCCAGAGCCCGACGCGGGGCTCGAACTCACGGACCACAAGATCGTGACCTGGCTGAAGTCGGACTCTTCACCGACTGCGCCACCCAGGCGCCCCTCTGTGTCCTTTTAATTTCATGGGTGAAATCTTTCCCGACTCTTCTCCCATCCCCACTTTGTTCTCACCCTTTCTGACTTATTTGCATGGGAATTCTCTGAATGAAAGACATGATCCCACAGAGCCTGAAGCTTCCTTTCCTTCCACTGAATACAACTTGAGTGAGAGAGATTATGGTCGTAGTCAAGGTTCATGAGAAAGTTATCAACGAGATGCAGTTATTTTGCCAGTAGAGACATTTCATCAATATATGGCAAGATCCTTTAGTATTCTAATGTCTGACTAAATATTTTGCCCCAAAATTTGGTTACACATTTTGATCATAAACTCATAATTGTTGACATGTGTGCTTATTTTTCAACCAGGCTGAAAGCACTTCAAAAAAGTTTTTATGAACGACACTAACTTACTACTTCAGTGGATTTTGAGAAGTGAGCAGACAGAATTTCAGTTGCTTTAAACATGGATTTGGGGCACGTGGGTGGCTCAGTCGGCTAAGCATCCAACTTGATTTCAGCTCAGGTCATGACTTCACGGTGGTCGTGAGACCGAGCCCCATGTCAGGCTCTGTGCTGACAGAGCAGAGCCCGCTTAGAATTCTGTCTCTCCCTTTCTCTGCTCCTTTCCTGCTCGTGTGTGCTCGCTCACTCTTCCAAA